CTGGGGCCATCCTTCCTGAGGTAAGGCGAAAATGCGTGAGCCAAAGGCTAAAAAACTGTGAGCTAGCTCACACTAACTCAGCTTAGAGGGAACACTGGTTAAGACCAACAGTTTTATTCCTGGTATAAGTTTTCGTGCACATGCACACTTCTTCAGGTGCAGTGAAACAGAGGACACCAACTCTGAAGAAGTGTGCAGGTGCACAAAAGCTTATACCAGGAATAAAACTATTGGTCTTACGGGTGCCACTGGACTCAAACCATGTTCCACTGCAGACCAACTCGGCTAAGCTCTGAAACTACCTTCTTATTTTTAAAGAGTCAGTTTTGACTTTCTGGGGTAAGGGAGGTTGTTTTAAAAGAAAAGGCTGTTGAGGACTAGCACCTTTCCCTCCCCTCTAAATTTATTTGGGAGTTCTTTGAGCTTGAAAGACTTGTAGAGTAAAAGCAATGGGGACTCTCATTTGGGAGGCCAAACAGCTCTCCTAGAGATTTTGCCACAGTCATATGCCTCAAATATACTTAGTTGTGAGGCTGAGGTATTGATATTGTTGTTTGTGGGTCTGTAGGTGAATGTTCCTTTTGTACCGTTGTCTGCGATGTCCACGATGCTGTGTGTGTGGCAGAATAGAATGTATTATTTCTAAAAGACTGAGATAGTGATGTTGGGTCCAGAAACAACAATGTTACTGTATCATTCTTAAAACAATTATATATCCTATTAGTTGTAGCATTGTGTGCAATAATCCTTGGTAGGTAGTTTTCCAAGTATGTGGCAGAACAGAACACATAATTTTTAAAGGTTGTAGTTCCCCTTTCTCTTGCAAGCGTTTCTTATCCAATTTTAATATTTCTGGCAGTCGTTATGTGCAGTGCTCCCTCTGAGCTGTGGAGTCTTGTGAGCAAAAATTCTACTTTGTAACCTACTGGCATTATTGTTGTGAGCAAGCGATTTGGCTCCTGCATAAATTAGTTTGCTCTGAAGCCATCCTTCCTGAGCTCAGACAAAAATCTGTGAGCTGGAGGCTAAAAAGCTGAGTTAGCTCACACTAACTCAGCTTAGAGGGAACTCTGATTATGTGTAATGTCAGTGCGTAGATTGTTGGCTTCCTTTAGTAATGGTTTTTGGCCAACAGCCCTGTTGCGCTGACTATTCCAGCATTGCTGTTCCTTGGGAAGTTCTCTCATTCTCTCGCTCTGTCGCTGGGATGAAAAACTGCTGTGATGGTAGCTTGCCAGTTAAGGTTTCTTTAAATCTTTCTTGAGTTGGAACTGCCGACGGCCCTTTTTAGCAGTGTAGAAAGAGGTAGGCTGTTAAGCTCCCTTCTAGTGGCTTTCTCCCTCTGAGCATGGCAAAGCTATGGCTTTGCTTTCCAGAAACCTGTGGGATGCTGAGACACGCGGAGGTCAGGAGGAACGGGGCTCTTCTCATTTAACATGGATCTGGATTAGTAGTCTGGAAGCCGCTTGCTGCGAAAAGCTGCGGTTTCAGGTTGTCAGCAGAATCCGAAAGGCACCTATGCTTCCAATGCTGAGTTTGCACTTTCACACTCTGGCTCGCCATCAACACGTAGCAAAATGGGTTTTTCGATTTGCTGTCCGAGAACGCTCTCCTTTTTAGCCCCTTGAGCTGATCTCAGATGTCTTTTTACTGCAAGCCCAGATACTCAGGTAGAGTAATTCCCCTTCCTTTCCACCCCCTCTAAGAAATTCCGGAAGGTGGGAAGGGGGTACAACTTGCGGTCTCCAAAGGGGGTCGGTGTCGCCAGGCAGCTAAAAACTGGTCTGACCGAAATGAGCCTTGTAAAATGC